TTAATTATAATTAATTTTAAAGCAAAATTCATGATATTATATAGGCCTATGTAATTTTATTAAAATAAAATATTAATTTTATAACATAACTTAATACACTTATTAAGTGTAATACAAAAGTTAATTATGCTAAATTAAAATGTTAATTAACAAACTTACATTCAAGATAAATTATGTGTAATTTATTCGTTCTTCATTGCATAAACTACTACTGTCTACGTTTACAAAGAATGGAATTTCTTATAGTGAATTTATATGAAACGTCTGTATTGTTTGCTTAGTCAATATTTATGTAATTTTCATGGAAAATATATAATATTATTTGTGAAGCTTTTATTATTTTCATTAGGATATTATCGATTTTTCTTTATACGAAACAACAATGTTTAGAAATAATTTATTTTAAAAATATTCTCCGATAGAAAATACTTCACTTATTTCAAATTAAATTCGAAAGATATTTAATTAATAGAATTGCACTAACTAATAGGACGTTCACTATTGAAAATCAATACGTGGCACTGGTATCGGGATTATGGATACTTAGCTTTCTGTTTCGTCAGTCGTACTGTGTTTACATTGCTTAAAATTATATTTTTTATTTATTTAGATATTATTAAAATGCCGATTAAGTGTTGTATATTTCAGTGTAATGCCAACAACTGAAACATACAACAAGAAATGCCAGGTTTAAAATTAATAATCTATACTAATATAATGAAGAGGTAAAGTTTGTAATTTTGGATGTAGGAGGTAATCTCCGAAATTACTCATCCGATTTCAAAAATTCTTACACCAATATTTAGAATGGAACATCAGGGTGGACATAGGCTGTATGTTATTCTGTTAAACAGTCATATAAATTAAAAGATATCATCTAGGATTAAGACTTTTGTGTCCAACAGATGGCGTTAACTCCGCGAGTACGACGACCTAAGTTTACTTTTCTACTAAAGTGTAAGGCATTATGTTTTTCTGTGAGGATGAACTAAAAACGAACCCAAATCATCTTCTATGTATATAAGTAAAAATGTAATGCTCGTTTGTTCCTACCGATTCCTTTGAAATTTTGACACAACGTTGCATTCGAACACACACGTGTTTTTATCTAATACTAGCAGATCCCGCCACGCCTTGTTGTGGCTCAAAATGTATCTATTATAAATGTATAACACTTCCCCCGTGGGGGGAGAATTTTTCGAAAAATTTCTTCTTAGTGTACATTCTCTTGACGTACCCTATTAAAACGCAATCAAAAACGCAAAAAC